TGACAGTTAGTGTGACGCCTGCACGCTGCTTTGTCATCCTGATCCAGGTGCTGCACTCATTTCTCAGCTGAAATTCAGGGCACACATATCTCCGTGCTTCTCTCCTCCTTTTTCAGATTCATTTTCCTTGTCAATTTCTGATCCGTGTACAAGAGTCGGTAATGTACACCGATTTAAATGGAACAACATGACCTCGTGGCTTGAGCCGTATGTCATGGTACTGCAATGTGCCTCATTTACACGTTATTTGATAAGGATCTTGGCCTTGTAACTTTGGGTTGCACATTAGCCAAGAACGTACTGGTTTTATATATTAATTTTTTGACAAATGAATGACTGCAGTGTTTGGATGGTGAAATAAATAGCAGTGCTGGCTCAAACAAATATGAACGAGCGAAGACAATAACTCAAACACACAGCCTGAGAGTCATTATTTTCATTGTTTGTATCTGACTGCTGGTGTGTCTGTGTGTGTATGTGTCCTGGCCAAACCCCATTTGGCGAAGCCAGAAGACTGAATCCTTGCCCTCGGGACTCCTACAGAAACAACAAAAAACCACTCCTTGTGTGTTGAACGCTCAGTGCGGAGGAAAGGCTGCCACTCCTCTGTCGGGAGCTGGACTGGTACCGACTGGATCTCTGTGGTATTCAGGGGGTCCGGTGGACCGGCCCTGGCTCCTGCCACCATGAGGGGTGGACAGTCGTCTTCTCGGGGAAGGAGACTGCCAAACAAGAGGGAGTGGCTCTTATTCTGAACAAAAGAATGAAGGGGGCGTGGGAGCGTGGCGGTGAGGTGTGGGAAGCTGTAAGCCCCAGGCTACTTTGGGCTCGCCTTCCCATCAACCATAGATGATGAGTGGTGGCCGTGGGTACTTATGCCCCCACTGAAGACGAACATCCGTGGAGAGATGCAGGCAAGGCTGATGAGTCAGATGCCTTCTATGACCTCCTGTCACAGGTGCTAGCTAAAGTGGCCCCTCGGGATAGAGTCATCTTGTTGGGTGACTTCAATGCCCGAGTTGGTCATGATGCTGGTACCTGGTCTGGAGTGATTGGAAGGCATGGGCCAGATCAGCTCAATAACGACAGGAGGCTGCTAGATTTGTGTGCAGCCCATGGGCTTGTAATTACCAACACGCTGTTCCGGCATCAGCGCATCCACACAACATCATGGATGCATGCCGGGTCCCAGCAAGAACATCTGCTGGACTACATTGTGACAGAACAGCAGATGCGGGCCCATGTCCACCAGGACCTACCGTGAAGCTGATCTGCCCACTGACCATCAACTTGTCATCTGTAAGATGTGCCTGCCATTCTTCCACTCCAGTGTTGGGTGTACACCCAGGACCCCATTCAAACCCTTAGTGGCATGGTCTCAGCTAGCTCATGAAAGTTGCAAGCGAGAATTGTATCATCGCTTGTAGCTGGGGTTGGCATCGTCTCCCACTCCTCCTGATGTCGAGGGGAAACGGGTGAGGTTTAGGACTGTGGCTCATGCAGCTGCAATGGCTGCTTTGGGTATACGGTCCAGACCTTCCCAGAGACCCTGGCTGACAGAGGAGGTGTTCAAGCTGGCTGAGAAAAAGCGACAGGCCCACTCTCATCAGCTACAGCATCCCACATCGGAGAATGAGGAGGCTTACCGCAGCCTTCGCTCGGAGGTTCGGAGAGCCGTGAGGCGCTGCAAGGATGGGTGGTGGTCGCGGGTTGCTGAGGAGATGGAGTCTGCCTCAATGGCCCGTGATCACAACACAAATCGCTCTTTAAATCCCTAAAAAGTAACCTGCAGCACCACACCTATTACCATCATTAGGGGAAAGAACGGTGATCCAATCTCTGACCCCCAGGAACAGGTTTGCAGATTTGCTGAGCATTTCTGTGAGGTCCTGGGGGAGGAGACATCCCTCAGCCTGGATAACGTGGGACAAAGTGGGGATGATACTGCCGAGGCTGCGGTGCCTCAAATATTGGAAGAAGTCACACCCTGTGAGTGGTTGGCTGAAGTGCCATCTGTCGAGGAAGTACTGAAGGCGATCCAGAGTCTGAGACCAGGAAAGGCACCAGGCAGAGATGATCTCCAAAGCGAATTGCTGAGGGAGGGTGGCGTTTGTGCACAGACTGCCCTATATGACATCATAACAACAGTCTGGACCACTGGATGGGTTCCGCAGGACTGGAAGGATGCCCTGGTGGTCCCCCTGCTTAAGAAGGGGGACCGCACAGACTGCAACAACTACAGGGGCATCTCACTCCTCAGTGTGCCGGGAAAGGTCCTGGCAAGGATTATTCAACATCGCCTTGCTAGGCACACTGAGGAGAGGCTTTCGGAGGCCCAATGTGGTTTCAGGAAAGGGCGGTCCTGCACAAATGCCATATTTTCTGTCCGTCTGTTACAGCAGAGGTGTAGGGAATTCCAACAAGACCTACATTTCTGCTTTATTGACCTGGTCAATGCCTATAATACCATCAGTAGATTTGTGCTCTGGGTTGTTCTTCGTGCTTTCAGAGTCCCTTGAACCTCTGCTCACAATCATTAATGATCTTCATGATGGTGAGCGGGTCCAGGTAAAACTAGGTGGCCGGGAGTCGGAGCCATTCCCTGTACACCTTGGGGTGCGACAGGGATGTACTATGGCTCACACATTATTTAACATCTATTTCGACCACGTAGTTCGTGAAGCCTTCAATAGCTGACCGGCTCTGGTTTAACAGCAGAGGTCTCACTCCAAATCAGTCGAGCGGCATTATATTTTCATCGGTTGCGTAACACTATGTGGAAGCTACCTGGTCTGTCGCTCCGCACAAAGCTTCAGGTCTTCTCAGCCACAGTCATTCCCTCTCTTCTCTACTCTTGCGAAACGTGGATCCACCTAATGGAACATCTTCGCCGGTTGGAAACATTTAAGCTGGCCTGCCTACGATCCATCCTGGGTTTAACCAGGCTGGATTGTGTGAGGAGCTCACGAATCCTTAAAAGATCTGGACAAAGTCCCATCGGTGAGCTCCTCCGGCAGGCAAGGCTGCATTGGCTGGGCCATGTAGCCCACATGTCCAGTCCCCCCATTGCCTAAACAGCTTTTGTTCGGCCAGATCGAGGGGGCTAAATGGGCGTGGCATGGGCTAGAGAAGAGATGGAGTGATGTGGTACAGGAAGATGTGGAGCTGAGTGGACTTGCCGATGACTGGTACCAGCGGTGTCAAGATCGGCCTCTGTGGAGGAGGCTCGTGAAGGACGTTACTGGGCAGTTGGAGGCAGTCACCCTCCAACAACAACGGAGGGCGGAGGAGTGATGCTCACAACAACGAGCGGAGCGCCAGGTGGCTAAAGCACAGCAAGTTGGTATAGTTGGGGGCACAGGTGGTGTATCAGCCAGGCGTCTCATTCAGTCGACCTGTGGCATCTGGGTCTACCCCATTACCTCCTGCCAGCAGGCGTTTGACACATCACGTGGCCTCGGGGTGCACATAGCCTGGCACAAGCGTCGTGGTGATGTCACCGCCACTTAGTGGCGAATGGCGGTTGTTGTTGTGTATGTGTGCGGGACTGGTAATATCGTAATTAGCACACTGTGTTCCGAACCCATTCCCACTGAAAACCAACATCGGTGATCGATATGTTAACTGGTTCTAGGCCTTCCCGAGGTCAACTTAGCTGTAAATGAGTACTTGGTGCAGTGTGTAAACATCAGCATTGGGGAGACAAAGGCGGTCGGGCATGGTGTACATGTGCATTCACGTGCGTGCCTGCGCACGCGCGTTCATTCTCGCTGGTGCATGCGCACGTGTGTATTCACGTGCATGCGCTGGTGCATGTGTACGTGTATGTTCAAGTTACCATAGCAAAACCCTTGGCACATTTGCTTTCTGGGAAGGCAAGACAAATAGCATGACACTGACCTCTCTCCAAGTAAGTTTTTTTGTTCTTCCTTTGGCCAAATGAGAGCACTAGCTTCTGAAAATGCAACATCAATTGGCTTTCACTCTTTTTTTGAAAGTGCTGACTGTTGAAAGATCCCATGTGCAGAACTTTTTTTTTGACGGCCTGAGCCCCACTTGCCAGAGGATATTAGCGCATTTGTGCACACTGAGACACTGTCCCGAAGCCCTGGGGCAGGATTGACACCAACTCACCCATGACTCCGGGCAGCCTATTAAACGAAAAGGTAAGGGAAAGTGGAAATTGCTGGACGAGAGGATGCAGGGTCACGGTCTTGTGCACACTGACGTGATGCACTGGGCCCCGGGCATGACGCAGCCATCACCCCGAAAAACAATCGTCTAAATATTTTCTTAAGCAACGACCCGGGAAATAATAACGAGGGCAATTCGGTGAACTCGGACTGCGGTCCTATAAAAGGGGTGATAACCATCCATTCTCGCTCTTTCGGATCAGATAAAGAGCCAGTTCTGCTAAATAAAAAATAAGTATGCCATAATGGCCCTGTATTTATCCAGGAAAGCTCCCCTGAGTCTCAAGACTCTTTCATTCAGGATGTTTGGCCAATGTCATTTACACGTCGTTTGGCTTCATATGGGAGAAAAACTGGAGAGTCAAGAGAAAAGCTACACACACGAGAGGAAAAGGCACTCAAAAGCTTGCGCAGATAGATGCAAGAATCCATGACCGTACTGCCAGCCCAAGCCAATCACATTTGATAACCCAAATACTGCACAGGCTCAACCTTGCTTGGCCTCGGAGTGCTAACCAGACTGGCACTGCTGAGATGTGCCAGTGGAAAAGGGGTATTAGTAATGACTCACCAGGCATGTGTAGGTAGCGAATAGGTGGAGTAACCTTGCAACTGCTTTGTGAGCAGTGGCGAGGGGTACAAGGCACGTGTAGGTTTATGAATGGGTGGAGTCACCCTGCAAGTGCGTTGTGAGCAGTGGCTAGGGGTACAAGGCACGTGTAGGTTTATGAATGGGTGGAGTAACCCTGCAAGTGTGCAGTGTCTGAGTGCACAAAGCGCGTGCAGGTTAGCGAACGGCACAATTACCTTGGCAGGAACGTTCGTCCGTCAGAAGCTTGTAGCCCTTCTGGCAGCTGCACTCGAAGCTGCCCACTGTGTTCCGGCAGACGTGGTCACAGCCACCGTTGCCCAGCTGACATTCATCAATGTCTGTGTGGCGAAACAGCACCGTGGCGAAAATCAATACCCATAAGTGTAAAAATAAATCAAATGAATCACTTTGCATTCGGAGCGAACCGCGTGATATTTGTTTTAAGGCGTACGTCATCTTCTGGTGCTTTTCATAAAATGCAATACGGTAATGTAACGCGGTACGCGTGTTAAAGATCATTCTTATATACCTGTCTACCTGGCACTCGTCCATGTAAATGATTTAATCCAGCGTAGCCATCAGCTGCATTCAAGTGCTTGACACAACCGCGAGAGACGTAGCGGACGTTAATTGACATAAAAATGCGGACCGATTACATCTGCCGCTGTGCACAGCAGCAGCAGCGCGACGAACTTAAGGCTCGGCACCTGGGTCCGTAATACACTGGCAGTCGGGTGCATCAATCTTGCAGCTGAAATATATGGATGGGACCAGAGAGCACTCGGGCATTCAGTGATGAGAATAGAGGAACAGGACAGCATGGCCACTGATTGATGAGGCCTTTATCTGGCACTCGACCGACAAGCCCTTCATTAGAATTTTCAACTCTGACCTCAAATGCATATTTAAAGCTCCTCACAGCTGTGTACGTATTGCGGGGGCAGTGACCGGTGGCAGACTTTGCCTGAACTCTGACGGCTCTGGCGTCGTGCTCCACAAGAGGTGAATTAATTGTGTTCACCGATGAGGCGGATTACTATTTATGTCAGTTTTAAAGCCACGGGGCTGTCGGATATTTTGAACTCGAGGTTAACCCTGCCCTGTGAGTGAAACACACATTATTAACCTCCAGGCTATAACATTGTGAGGCCCTGAAAAAAAAATGGGATTCGAGATTATTTGTCATTAGCATTGACTGGACTATATTTGTGCCATGATTGTGATTTAGAGCAAGCAATCACAATTCACTTTCTTCCCTAAAATATATTTTTAAAACATAATAAATAAGCCATTCGTGGTGAAAGTTAATGTGCACATATATTGACACGACAAAAATCACGACACACTCGATATCATCCAGAGTGGCATTGCAGCACGAACATGTTTCAGTTACAAAAGTGTGGGACAGATAAACAATGCGTAATAAGCCGCTCCTTGGTCTGGTGTTGAGAAATCACTACGAAGCCACTAAGAAGAACATTTCTGCTGAACGCTGCTGTTACTTTGAGTTTGCTGAGCTGTTTTTTTTGGTTTGGCCAGCACTGCCGCATTACAAAGTTAATAGCTTTGCGAAAATGTCAGCAGTATCGTTAGAACAGATGTTACGCTCATGAAACCCTTTGTCCAAACACCACTTGATAACTAAAACATGAAGTCACAGCCATCAGAGGATATTCGAAAATGATTTCATGTCAACTTTGCTTGCAAACTACCAACAAGCCGGTGGAAATGCGTGGCACGTGCGACTTTGAGGTCGGCCAAAACGGCCGTTAAAACGAGTGCACGACACAAAATTTGTGACGAACAAAAATATGTAATAGTTACAAATATCGTTGTGAAGTTGCGTGAGACAAAGCACATTTTGGCGATTGTAAAAAAAAAAATTGATGATATTTCGTGAAGCCAGGCGTTCGTTTCTTTGCATTTCACTCTCGCTCGTCCTTCGTTATTACACGCTAAGGTCAGAGGAGATAAAATCATGAGCAGCCGGCTGAATAGGAAAGAAAACACAAGTCCCGTCAATCATGATTGATGAAAATTTCCTTAAAGGGAACATAGGAGAGATGTAATCTGCTGGGCCTTCTGTGAGTGATCACCGGAGCGTGGAAAGGCACAAGCCAAACACAACGAGAGAAATCGTTGCTGATTGTTGCTGTTAACCCTTTCACGTACAATCTGCCCTCACCCCGTGGGGTTTGCCTTGTGGTCACACAGAGGGCCTTGCCCCTCTGCTTCCGACAGCAGGTCAGCAAATTGCCATGGCCATTTGTCAAATTCGTGAAATTAGTTTGATGGCCATGATGCTAACCAAAACCCACAGCGATAACCCTGTGTCATACACCAAATGAGAGCGCTTAAGCCCCTGTGTTTAATTCTCTAAAAAGAAAACGTGATGACCTTTGAGAATTGAGTACTGAGAGGTGCAACGTGCGTGTATTTCGGGTTTGGTTATGGAATATGTTTAAAGCACAAGCGACAACTGCTTTCCGTGGACATTGCGAAACAAATGTTTGGACAACAATAGGCATACCACACTTAATTCGATTTTAACCAAGCTGGTTTTAAATGCATTAGTGCGCTAGCACGACGGCTATAAAATGACGAGAAATGAAATAGCGTTAATTATTTTCAAGAGATTATATTGTTTTATTTGTGTTACTCTTACTGCCTTTCGAAATGTGGTTTTATTAATCCAGTTTCTTATCCCCATCCAAATAATTTATAGACATTGGCAAAGAGGTGCATCATGAGCCTTGCCTAATCCACGTATAAATGCACATAAAATAGACATGGTTGGCTGACTCAGTCAGCTTGGACCAGAAAGAGGGAGTCACAAGGCCATGGTATTGATTCACATTGATTTCACAGAACTTACACACGGAGGAAGAAAAGCTGACATGGTGTAATGGTTCGGCACTTCAGACTTGCAATCCAGAGGTCACCAGTTCAACTTAATCTCCTGACACTGCAGTTGAAACGATGGGGCAGGTCTCTTAAATCCCCCCCCCTCCCACCTGTGTCCACTCAGCAGTGTAAATGGGTGCCCCGCATTGAGTCCATCGGTGGCTTTTAGTGCCACCCACATCTACCACGACATTGTGTCCAGCACGGAAAATAAGGCCACATAATCTCAGGAGGCCCTTTCAAGAGCCCCCTTTAGCGGAGGCCCTTCCACCAGCAGTGGTGTGAGCGAGCAATTGCAAAGCTGCACCTTTACTTAGACACCGTGGCACTTTAATAAATAAAATACCATTATGAAGGCGAGGGTTTAGTCACCCTTGTATCCAGTTCTTTTTTGCAATGGTTATTCACTACATTCCACCGCCAGGCCACAACCACATTCCAGGATATGGTGGTGGTTAAACATTTTTTCTGGAATAATTCAAATCTTGAGTCAAAACGCAATGAGTCACCTCCACGAAGCTCATAAACAGACACAGTTGTTATGATGGCGAAAAATAAGGAAAGTGGCAAATTAATAAAAAAATAATCATACTTTTTTTTTTAACCCTCTCCGACATTAAACGTTGGTGCGAGCCAAAGCATTGCTCACACGTGTCCCGCGAAACCCACTTCACAAACAGCACTATCGTTGAACGTCCGTGGCATGATTAATACTTCCTTCGCAGTGTTCTGGCAAAGGCAAACAAAAAAAACATCCCCCCCCCCCCCCCCGCTGCTACGAGCAGTGGCAGCAGCGGCGGTGGTGGCTTGGCACTGCGACGGTCGTGTGCCAGCCTACCGCCCCGGCACGGAAAACAAAAAAGCAAAGAGTGTCAGAGGAAAAAAAAACACGACCACATCCCCGTTGCTCTCGGTGGGGACGGGCGGGCGGTGAGAAAAAGTGCAAAAAGTGACACGCTACAAAGTGGGGTGCGTGCCAAATTATGTCAGCCTCCAAATCACAGGCCTTCCTTTATATACCCCCTGTTTTCACTCCAGCCGTCACTTAAGTTTTATGCTCGATCCAAAGCAAACATGGCCACGCACACATCTTTAGTCAGACGTGACCGCTCATGATTATTGAATGCCATACATTGACTGTCGTGGGCGCACGGCGCGCTACCATTCGTATGAAGAGTATCCCGTTTATGAGGTTTTTTTTGTGAGTCTATCATCTTGCCTGCGTCTAGTGTCTATAGAAGTTGTCATTGTGTGCGAGCATGTGAACGGAGTTAATTGTGGCACATAAAAACCTTTTAAACTGGCAAGGCTCGTGAACGCTTGTAAAGTGCGGTGGAGTTTAAATTAAAATGAAATTTATAAATATCGTAATGTATGTTTAAAAGCTCTGCTTCAAAGCGAACATCTAACATGCCAGAGGCAGTTTGATTTCTTTGTGATCTAGTGATTAAACGGACGCAAAAAAAAGACTTTGTACATTTTTTTTTTTTACAAGTCTCGGGTATTCCTGCGTTGCAATAACTTTACAACTGAACCATCGAGTCTCATCCTTCACATTAACAGTTTGTCCATAAAAGCGGAGAGAGAGTTTGAGCTTCAGGGGCGCGCGTTTCATTCGCTTTATAGGAGTCGTTCTGCTTTGAACGAGTTTCCGCCGCGCGATATACGTGACGTTATGGACTGTGACACGCTTTTTATTCAACGCGCTAATCGAGCCACAGTGAGAAAACACAACGCTTCTTTGATTCGCCTCCACCGCCACCGCCCTCCCCTCTGAAAGGGCCCTTCCTCCCGCAACACAGGTGCATAATCACCGGAGGGAAAATCCCTCGTTTAGCCTTTCCATCCAGGGAATTTTACGACCAATCGCTTACGATTACACAGAAGGAGAAGGAAGGAGTGTGGGCCCGCTGGGGTTCACAGTCCACGGCCATTAAAGCTGGGCCGCCTCGCACTTTCCCCCAGCGTTCTGCAGCGTTTCCACGTCTCCTCCCGAGACTGCGAATAAAATCCACGCGGCTTGAACTTGCCTGATTATGAATGAAAGGAAAAAATAAGAGGAGGGCGAAATTGAATGCAAAAAAATTGTGGATTTCCGCTTTTTTTTTTTTTTGCACCTTCGAGCCGGTGAGATGCTTTTTTCAAATGAATGGAACCGGGCTTTTCCATAACAGCGTTAACCGCATCGTGTGGAACTCGGTACGGATCCCCCCCCCCCCCCCCCCACCATTCACTCTCACCCAGCCACCGCCAAATTAGGGTTACTGTTCAGGTAACTTGCAAGCAAAATATTATGCTTGAAAAACGAAATGCAGATGGGAAGCAGTTAAAGCAAACGCAGCGCTTTTTCTTCCGTGCTTTACATTTTTAGACACAACTCAAAAAAAGTAAATACGTTGACCTATATTAAGCAATTTTAACTATACATATTAAT